TCAGCCTGCATAGGATCGTTCCTTGATCCTCTCTTGCTTGAGCCTCGTCTTCCTTCGCGTTTCCATTCTTCTCCTCGTCGTCGAGGATTTTAGGCTCTTCCCAGCATTCGTGGATCAGCTCGCGTCATCTTCTCTCTCCGTTCCCTTCTTGGCTAACGTTGTGTCCCATTTAACGGCCGTTTCAGAAGCGACTTGCATAAGTGCCAGACGGTGTCTGAAGCAGGGATGCTAGCTGGTCGCTGTTATCGTGCCGCTGCTGGGTTTGGGTTATGGCCGAATTTTGCCCAACGTTTGCTCGATTATGCGTACCGCTCCGGCTCACAGAGTTTAACGCGTATCGCCTGGTTCTTACCTCGAGCCCGAAACGAGCGTTTGATACTATTATGGAGGTTTCTGCTTTGTCGCTTTTAGATGTTCACGTGGTGTTTCGTTGTTGGAGATAGGAGGCGAATGGCGATGGATTTAATTGGTTTCCGCAAGATTCGAATTAGGAGGAGGGTTATCAATGTCTTTTGGTAAGAAGTTAGGTACGCCTGTGGAGATTTTTCTTTTGATATTTTTAATTTTTAAGAGCCAGGCTTTTTAAGCTTCGAATTATGAGTAATAATTATCAGAATTATTAATTTATATTTGTTTAACTTATTATTTTATTATATTATAAAAGGTCGCATAGCGTTTTCTTCTTAAATAGAGGCAAATGGAGGCAGATTTATTTACTTCTCTAAATTTCGAATTACCAATGAAAGCTGTCTAATCTCCTTTTATAAGCATCAAGTTGTCAGATTGAATTTGGCATTTTAATTTTTGCAGATATTAATCCTTGCTTTCTAGCAATAATCTCATCGGTATTATAATTAATTATTCTATCCTCTTGTGTCAATTTACGGCAGAATTTAGGACAGATATACTTTCTACATATATACTTTCATCCTTTCTGTCCTGGTTTAGTAGCATCCTTATAGTCTCACTTCTGTATTATCTTTTCTCTAGCAAAGATCACTTTGCTTAATCATATTGCACCCTTAACTCCTCGCTCAACGTTTTAATTATGAAAAATTATGCACTGAAGTAGCATTTAATTTTAATTAACCCCTATATACCTATTTCAGCCATGATGAAATTAGATGAAAGTTTTAGAAATTTTAGAACATGTGAAATATAATTATGGTCGCGTAATTGGTATAGCTTATAATAACAAGATATTCCATGAAGAATCCGTAACGAGTTAGACTTGTACTCGTTATAGTACAAAAGGGTTAATACATGATTGAATGTACAATTAATTTCAGCAGCCTACTGCTTTCTCCATATCGATAAAGTTATTATTACAGGAAAATGTTGCGTTGCGAATGATTGGAGATTTATCATTTAAAAGCACTATCGCGATTAAAGTTTGGCTAGATGGTTAATCACTGGTCGCTGTGAAAAGCTCGCAAGGCATCCTTTCAGGCGAGCCAGCACGGCAGTGAACGCGTTAATGGAAACATCGGTGTTAACCGAGTTTCCTTTGTCGCGTAAACCGAACGATTTACAACGAAGCGAAGAAAATTCAACGGGATGCATTTTCAACGAGCTTGCATTCATCCGCGGGTAAAACGTGTCCCTGTGAGACCAGCTTCGTGATGCGGCGAATAGGGATTGCGCTCTATCGACCTACTTATCCATCTCTGACTTCCACGCACACTTCCGTTCCACGGTTGTCGAGGTGTAACGTGCCTTAAAAGTAGCTTATTTAGATCCATCATGCCGAGTGAAAAATACCACGAGGAGGGGTGGTAATTAGTGTTTTTCGATTCCTTTCGCTTCGGTCGTTGTCCCAGGGATAGAGGTCTCATTCAATCTCCGTATCGCGAATTTTTTACGCCAATTATGGCTTGTTGCATCGTCGACGAGAGCTTTCTGAAATGGGAGCTTGGAACTAGGTAGATCTTTGATTCGTCTATGTAGGACAAATATCTGTGTCTTCTTTTCTTATTTCTTTGGAGAATTTTCAATTGTTGAAGTTTATGGATACTGAGACGATATTCATAGTGATTCTTGGTAATTAGAATTGATGAAATTTAGGTGTTTCTCGTATGTAGGAGAAATATCTGTCTTCTTTTCTTATTTCTTTGGAGAATTTTCAATTGTTGGAGTTTATGGATACTGAGACGATATTCATAGTGATTCTTGGTAATTAAAATTGGTGGAATTTAGGTGTTTCTCGCATGTAGGAGAAATATCTGTGTCTCCTATTTTCTTTTTCTTTGGATAATTCTGAATTTGCAGAATTTATGGATACTAAGACGATATTCATAGTGATCTTTGGTAATTAAAATTGGTGAAATTTAGGTGTTTCCTGCATATAGGACAAATATCTCTGTCTTCTCTCTTTGTTTCTTTGGTAAAGTCTGAATTATTAGAATGTATAGATATTCAGACGACATTCATAGTAACCCTTGGTAAATAAAATTGAACAAGTCCTTCTTGGAAATTTTCCTCGATAATTTGTATTATTGATGTAACGAATTTGTTCCTGGCGTGTGGACGAGATATGAGTAATGTTAAAATTCATAATTAATAATCTAACATCTTACTGTTTACATTCATATCTAATAACTAGTATTTAATCATAGATATCATATTTATTAAGCTTCGATTATATTATAAACTCTATAAATATCATATTCATACGATATATAATATTTAATAATATTATAATATCTGTCCTATAACATATGTCCTATAACATTTTATATAAAAATTTATATATTTATACACATCTATATATGCGTTTCTCTGTTTCATTTACTCCAGACTACCCTTGACTGACTTCACATAATCAAACTCCATTTACAATATCATAAATGTAGATATACCAACTCCAAGTCTAAATCACACACAATGAGCACATCGACTCTTTGCACTCCATTGAGCCCATCATTGAACCACTAATAACCTGCAGCATCGTTTATTTTTATTTTTACCCTTACCAATAAGGATGGAAAATAGACCAAGATAACTGGAAATATCTGTATATTCTTTTTCAAGACACAGTCATTCATTTCAAAAAGTTTCCAATTCAATTCAAAAATATCTCAAAAAGCTAACCAACGAAAGAGATGGACTCGAAGATGGAGGACGTGAGGGATCGAGTGAAAATAGCACTACGTTTCCTTAGTAGGACTTTATTATATACGGGGGACCAGATGAGGAAAACGTGAAGACAAGTTTTTGGGAAAGACCCGTGTCGTTGGAGAGGGGTAAACAAACTGACTCTTTTTCGCCGCTCATTAGGCGTCGAGATGGTCCGCGAGTCATGGGGTCGTAAAAACATAAACCAGGCCCCCATTGACCCGGGATCCTCGATGTCCCGAAGGAGTCGAAAATATTTACAAGGAACCTTCGTTTTCCGCACTTGGGATGTGTCCCTACAGACTCAAAAAATTCCCAGAATACAAAGGTATCGGAACAACCTAACCCATCATTTATCATCGATTGTTCAAGATAGATAAACTTAATTGATAAACTTATATGAAGCATGCCACTTTCCTCGTTTTCTCTTCACTCCCTTCCTTTTTCCCTCTTGCAAATTACGCCAGCGACACCCCCACACGACATCGCAATGGCGCGCAGAAGCCTGAAATCGCGTTAAGGAACGTTGCGATACCCAAGTTACGAGAGGGTGGAAAATCTGGAGAGAGGGTGGCAGAGCTTTCGATATTAGCTGCATTATAAACCACTTGTACGTGAGTGTGTTTCACTTACGGACAAATTGCAGATAGGCAGCGTAGCGCTGAAGGCTGCCGCGCGATTATACCGCGACGCATGTGACGGCGTCGCGACGCTGCACGCGCGGACCTTTCGCGGGAATATTGTTCGCGGTGAAGGGAGGGGCGGTAATTAAAATTTCGTTTAATCGCGCTTCCGTGCCACTTGCACGAGCTCGGTGTCCTCGTAAGCTCGAGCAGGAATTTCCTGCCTGAAAGTTTCTTGTTAATCCTGCGCCATCTTGGAATCTCGCCTGCTCCTCTCGGTCTTCATTTTTCGCTCCTCCAAGAAACGTCGAAATTTCTTTTTGAATTTTTTATACGCAGTATTGAAGAACTATTGTGGATCCTCTGAGTGTTCATTTTAATTTGAGGTTATGGAAGGAACTTGGAATTTTTCTTTTGATATTTTCTCTGATAGGTTAGGGGATGATAATGTGATTTCTTAGGATGTTCATTTTTATATTTTTATATCTGTCAAAAGGACGAGGATATTTTCTTCTCTTCCTTTTATGATAGTTCGATTGAAGAATTATAAAATGTTTTATGTTGTGATCCTTTACATGATAATTATAGCTTTTATTTAGCGTTTAACGTTGAGAATATAATTTTAATGAATCACTTTTATGTTTTTAAGCTACGTCTATTCCGTTGCCCACCCAACATTCCTATATTATTAATTCTTTACAAATGAAAGTAATTGAAATTGTTATGCTAGGCTCTATTTATGAAATATCTCAAGTCATTGAACCAGATTTGTAAAGGAACGTCAAGTTTTAACAAGATTTGAGTATAAAAAATAAGATAGTACACAGTTATTTAAAATTCGCCAGTCATTAACACTCAATAGTGAGTTTCTAATTCACTAATTGAAAATTAAATAGATCTTCTTTAATTATGATAAGCATCGAAGTGAGCAAGGTTTTAAAAGCAGTTTGAAGCCAAGGCAATTTTCAGATTGGCAAACTGTATTCCCAGTACAGTCGACTGCTTTCGGCAATCCAGAAGCATGATTATCAGAAATTTCGAAAATATCGGCTTACACCGTTCGAACATTAATGTACACCTGTGTCTATCTTACGGTCCAGTTGATATTCGCTAAACGTAGCGCTCGAAGAGCCATATATAACCTTCTCTTTTATACTCCACGTGCGTGTAAAGAAAAAATAAAAATGAAAGGACAATGCACGTCTACGTGCATGCGTTTAATAAAATCGATGATAACGTATCGCTTTGTACTTTCTGTTGCAGGGCCGATGTAATCGGGAAAAGCCACCGTGCAAATATTTCCATCCACCACAGCACCTGAAGGACCAGCTTCTGATAAACGGGCGCAATCACTTAGCCCTGAAGAACGCGTTGATGCAGCAGATGGGCCTCACACCGGCCCAGCCACTAGTGCCTGGCCAGGTACCAGCAGTGGTATGTCCGAACTTTAACACATTCGTTGCACCACGTCTTCTGCTGTTCACACATCCACACATTTTCTTTTTACCACGATCGAGAGATCTTGAGTTTTGTCTGTGTTAGTCGACGACTACCACTAGATTACCCTTTTGGTAGGTAACGCCGCGTAAATGGTCAACGACACGGTGTACCTTTTTCATTTCTGATCAACAAGTCGATCACTGATTATCATAGTAATTCGCTTCGTCCAATGATGCGTTTTCCTTGGAATTTTTTCGAAACGATTAATTTCGTGCTAGTTAAATTTTTGGCATCACGATACGTAGAGGGATGATACGAAATTGGGGTATCTAATTTTTACCAGGTTTAATATTCTTCCTTATGAAGAATATTTGAATATTTCAAACAGCTCGATGATTAGATTCGGGTGATAGAGTGATTGAAATTATGGTAATTTTTCAAGAGATTCCGCACCCTGTCGTTCTCATTTATCGACGTTCTTTATTTGCGGGCATTGCACCGAGAGATAAAACCTCAGAGAGTAAACTTTAGCACGCCGCATGTTTTTGGTCAGTGTCACCCCCTATTCCTTTAATTTATCCATGATTCTCGATAGACAGTCAATATATATATTTATATATTTATATTAAAAGATGAAATTGCCAGATAGAAAGAAACCGTAGTTACAGTTATTAGCTCTCCTAGATTGCCGTCGAGTACGATTTGTAAATAGGAAAAGCGAGCAAGAGTATTTTGTTGGTTCGTCAATGTCTTATTTCTATTTTATTTTCTTTTTTTTTTATATATTTTTCTCAATCACGATTCACGTTCTTTGGCGAATCCACAAAATCCATCCCACTTGTTCCACTTGAAAGATAATAACGATATTGACAAGTAAGAAAGTAAATTGAAACATGATCGATACCATAAAGTTGTCTCTCTTTCGCATGCTCGCACATGCGAATACGTGCACGTAAAAGTGTAAATTCGTGAGAAAAAGATAAAAAAAATTCGCTCCCCAAGATATGTATCTCGGCGACTAGATGAAATTTTCACCAAAGAGATATCAGACCATCATTACGCCCACCCGCCTTTTATTTCATGACATATAATTCATAGTCGTTGCTACGTGACATCGAACCCTATACTACTCGTATGACTGCCTGTCTGTCCCCTATGTTTGCCGCTGTGGCTCTCGTGGTTGTGGTTGATTGTTGGTGTGTTCTCCAATTACGTCATTGGTGAACAGGAGGCACCGGCACCTCCGGCACCACACCATCACCTTCAACAGCAAATCCAGCAGCAACTTCTCGCTACCCACGCCTTTATGGTAACTCCTGGTTTTGGTTGGCTTCCACTAATTTTTTAGTTAATTAAAGTGCCACGCGAGGGCGTCGTCGTTTGCTAAGAAATCTGCTCGAAGTAACATTTTTCTGCTTCTCTTCGTTAAAACAAAAAAAAAAAATCAAAAAAAGAGGGAAAAAGAAATTTTCAGAGCGTTCTCTATTTTTCCGAGTTGCGTCGTTCGTTTAATTTGTCTTTCTTTTGCTGTTTGTTTCTTTTGGATATGGTTAGAGGAGCAGATTTTTCAAGATGGCGCCGCTGTCGCGCGAGTTAGTGTGCCTGTAAGACTAGTAAGCGTTTGTATGAAAGCTTCGACTTGTTTTAAAAGAGTGCCGCACTGTAAATTAAGATTGAGACTTGATCTGCATGCTTCACAAAATGTTTCGTTTTGTTTTATCGAAAGACAAGAAGTTTCTCTGTACATTACGACAGAGTTTTTTTCCTTTAGAGAGTTTTCCTTGAAAGCATGAGTTATTTTGCGGCCAAGTTATATCGTTCGCGTTTCTCTCCCTCTCCATCAACGATTTTGAAGTTTAACATCTATATTTATTACTCTCTATGTTCGGTGTAATACTATGTTTTATATGCATGCAGTCCCTTTTTTTCTCAAACTGTTGGAAATGCGAAAAGGTTGTACACGTGGCAGCTGCTTTCCCTCTAGGAGAATATATTAGGTTAAATTTTTACGAAATTATTAATTACGCGTTATTCATATTCCAATATGTATTAAAATTTATTTAAAGATTTATGTCTTAAATCTGTAAAAGAAGTAACGTGGAAATCTCCTGGATTTTGATTTATAATCCCACAAAAAATTTCATTTCCTCGCGAAAAAATGTGTGGAAGTCTTAACCACGTGATTGGTCAAAGTTCGGAAACTGAAAAGACAAATAACGATCTTTTATTCCTTTTAATTGAAAACTGCTAGCCTTTAACGTGTGTACTTGGTTAAATATAAATATTTATATGAAATAATTTAATCAAAATTAATTTCATGTTAGCTAAAGCTATTCTAATAAATTTCTATTAATTTGAATCAATTTTACAAATTCAAATATATAATTTACCATTTCCAATATTAACACAAAGATAAATGAAAACGGCAATTTTAGCCTATAATTTAATACTAATATTGAAATACATATGAAACGTAAATTCGAAAAATTCGAAATTAAGATTAATTTCACGATTGAATTGGCATAAATCAAATTTTAATATAATTCCGTTGGAAATTAAAATTTGGCACGAGCTCTTTAAATCGGACAACCTTCTCCACTTCCAACAGAACGATAGTTAACCGTACACGCAAGCCTAATGAACAACCGAATTAGAATTCCAAGCAGCACCTAATTCAACGCCGATTTCACTCGCGAAATCGGCGCAAGAGGGGAAGAGGGAAACGCGCGCGAAAAGATCGCGAACGATCGAGGCACGCTGACTTCCGACAGAAGATCGTTCCTTCGCCCCATGATGGTAACGTGGAAATGGTTTCCCGGGTCAACGGCCATTATCGCGCGGTCAGAGTGTCTTTTTTCGGCGGTTAGCGTGCCTCGCGCGTCTTGGAAGCTTCTATACGTCGGCGAAAGTTCGAAGAATACAAGCACACAGGTCCTTAAAGAAGAAGAAGGGACGAGCGTTCAGCTCATTCGGCTGCGCTTCAAATTACCTGCCTTCGCTTCTGGGAAGCCCGTTCTCTGCAAAACCAAACGCTTCTTATGGGAACGCGCGCTTGTCGTTCGATACAGCGGTTACCACCGGAAATAGACGGACGATTAAGGCTTCGCGAGCGATACACGCGCGTCTTTTCTTCGCGGATTTACCCCCATCACCCGAGCTTCCGTTAGACTTGGAAAGACGAGGTGGATGGATCCGGGGTTTCAACCCCTTGCGCTGAAACCACAGGCCTAATTGCGATACCTTAACCGCGTGGATAATGTCAATGTAATGACGAGAACGCGACGATTGCACCACGGATTTTATCCATCTTATTACTTGTTATAGATGTTAATTATTATTCCACGAAACTACAATATAATGGCCTGCAAATAAGTTTCAGTGCGAGGGGATTATTCTATTTTGAGATTTGCAAGATTTGATTACGTATCCGTGAAGAAAAGAATGACGTGATACTTGAAGATTTTCAGTCAGAGAGACGGTTTATTGCAATACTTGGGCAAACGAGTATGTATTTTTGGAGAGATTATGTCGTAGTTGGTTTCGAGTTTGATACAGTTGTTGCTTAACATCTTTAGAGGTATGGGGGGTAAAATGAGGTAGAAGTATACATAGACTTCTTTCGTAGGGGGTGAGTTATTTCCGATTGGATTTGGTAGATATAATTTATCGGTAGATGGTTCTTACTGAAGATTTTGTAGACAAGATTTTGAACGGATAACGACAATTGAAATTCATGAACCGAATAATTAGTAATACTAAACTGTCAATTCGGAAGTACTATTCTTCGATATGTCAAGTACCAAGTAATCAGTGTTATATTTTCTCTACCAACTGGTCCGAATTTTCCAACGTATCAAATTCGTTCTATACACTTTGATCAACATTTTCTGTATCAAACGACCAGTCTACCGAACGATCTTCTCCAGAAGAAAGGAGGAAAAAGAAGAGATTAAAGCGGCGAAAAGAAAGAACCGAGCTGACGAGACGGACGGAACTAAGATCCCATGGCAAGATCTCTCTGACCGAAAGACTCGCAAAGTCTAGATCGCGTCGAACGCTCCGGACGATAAAGATGTATGATCCGCGAACCGCAGGGCTGAAACTGGGTGGGTCTACTGTACCGCGCTTGTCGGAGGGGTCGGCTAACTGGGCTAAAAAGCGAAGAGCTGTCTAGCGTAATAAAGTAACGTTTGAGATCGGGGGCACTTACGATGACGACTCGCGTGGAGCGAAGGTGGGGATAGGTTTGTTCTAATCCGTGTTACCTGGATACTTTCCGGGTGTGTTTTCGCAGGCGACGAACCCGTACCTGACCGGTATGCCGCAGGTTGGCAACACGTACAGCCCGTATTTCGCGCCCAGCCCCATCATGCCAGCGATCATGGGGCCGGCGGACCCTACCGGAGTCGGAAGCCCTTTGGGCGTGGTGCCGCAGACGGTGGCGATGCCGCAGAAGATGCCACGTAGCGACCGCATCGAGGTATGTCTACCACCAAACTACATTCAACAACAACAACAACAGCAACAACAACAACAACAACAGCATGGGGCCCAACACGGCGCAGCCGGGGCCTCAAGGTGCCCGATGGCCGCGCCCAATACCGTGTACCAAGTGCCGGCCGGTCCCCCCAATCAGGTGTCGCCCGTTTCCACGATGCAATCTGTCAATCATCCACCATCCCCGACCACCATCACCACTACCTCCTTCTGTACCCCCCTGCACAATCCTCATGCCCACCATCACCCGATCCACAGCCTGATCTACGTCCACGCGTACTATTGAAGTCGATCGTCGAGAGCGGAGTTCTCTTCTTTCCCCATCTTGTGTTTTATCTTTTATCTTTTCACGCGTTCGCGCGTCCTCGCAGATTATTCGGTTCGTTTGCCGGAGAAACCCGGTTTCATTTCGTACCCGGCGACGTTGGTCCAGCATCGGGCCCGTCCCGACGCCAGGTCACGTCCCCGTCCGCCTTTGTTCGCGTTTGGGAAGAAGAGACCGGTTATGGTTCAGTTGGTGGAACGCGTGGTTCCGATATTCCTCGGGAGAGACTCGACTCGAGGCGCGTCGAGATGTTCGGAAGGGAAAAGAGGCAAGAACCTAGGCTGGAAGTCGCTTCTCCCGGGGTGAACAGCCCGAGGAGAGCCTTGGGCGGGTTGACGGGCACGACTCGCTCGGCCCGGCTAAATCTTATATTTATATACATTATATTCGATAACAGTATAATCCGTGTGCGATGTGAAACGTATAAAATGGTCAGAAAAATGAAAAAAATAAATATATATGCGCGCGAAAATAATCAGCTTCGTTGCCGTTCATACCGGCTGGACGGGCAACTTATTTTTTCGATTCCGTTCGATCGAGATCAAGCTGTCGGATGCTTGAACGACATCGCGCCGGATCATCCGTTGCGAGACTGCACCGTGACGATGATTTCACGGCTCGTTTCTGGACTAACTGCAGCGAAACCGGGCTCGCTAAATGACGAAACCGGAAACAATATGGCGGCCGTCTCTGGTCCACGGAGGACGAAAACGGGCTCCACGAACGGAACACGGTGCAGGATCTACGATTTCTATGTAATCTTTTTAGTAATCACTTATGGTTATCATAGCACTGTACGTATATGGTGTACGGAAGTTTCGATTAAGAGAATTGCATTACACGACGGTAGGGATAGAGTTGTCGAGGATATAGGCTCGCCCACTTCGGCGATCCATCTTTTCTTTTCGTCTGGAGATTGTACATTGGATAAGGTTCGTTCGAAGCAATTATTAATGGCAACGACAAAAAAAAAGAAAAAAAAAAAAGAGAAAGAAACGTGATGATAATTATTATTATTATTATTAAAAGAAGAATAGGTTTTAAGATACCGTGGCGAGACGCGAGGGGTGGATTAGTCGGGAGATGTGCAACGATCTTCTATATTTTCCTTTATTTTACCACGATTTTCGTTCTTCTTGCCGCATAGTTTAACGCTTGGCGACGATATGGCAACCTATGGCTTGCCACGTGATTCAACGAGATATAATCGAGAATAGTAATTGAAGATTATGGAAAAAATTCGAGAAATACCTATTACATTACTACCAAGAGAAGAATGTTATTTAATCATGAAAATTTCATTATACTTCTTCACGTTTCCAACGAATAATTTAACGTATTAGATGAATCGTGTTGTCACAGTAAAAGCTAGTCGTACCTTGCAGAAACCCCATAAAATGTCACGAATATTTCAAAATCGAACAAACTGGATTAAATGGAACGAAAACGATGAAAACCGTTGAAAAAGAATAGAAAAATAAGAAACGAACCCCCTTGAGCTACTAGACCGCGAATCAATTACCAAACTACAATTCATTCCCTTCTAAAAAGTAACTAAAAAGCAACTGAAAAGCACCCCAGCAGCGACCACGGAGAGCACAATATGAAAAAAATCCCATAGAAAAACTTCTACCCCCACCAGCAGCTTAGTCTGTCAAAAGAGAGCCATAAAATCGCGTTCTGGCCCCCGGAAGCAACACCTACGCGGCACAGGGTGCAGCACTTTCGTCCCTCGAAAACAGATAACGACGGATTTAATTAAGACTCGGGAAATTTGCCGACCTTCTCGTTAAGAAACGCCGGCGGAAAGCTGGGAAACGTTTTACCCGTGGAAAATGACGATAACGTTTGTTACCCTACGCGAGAGCGGGGGCGCGCGTGCACGCGGTCGAGCCTCGGCGAAGTTGCTCGGGAGGGGGCGTAAGTTTTATAATGTTCGAGTTTACAGATTTCCCCGGAGCCTGTATCGTTTCTTTCGCCCGGCGGCTTTCGCGGAATTAACAAGTTTCGCGCGGTGGTTCGCGGCGAAAATGAATAAAATCGGCGGGCTGAAAGGGGGGCTGCGGCGTATCGGTGAAACTCTCGCGGATCGTTTGTGAAATGGAGCTTTTCCCTCCCGGTTTTTTCCTCCGGAACAAGAAACTGCTCTTCGTAGAAAGCGAATTTAATACGTTTTCCGTGTATTCGGACCGGTAACGAGACCGACGCCCGCGCTGCTACCGGACAGCTACAGAAATCTCGGCTCCCGTTTCTCCCTGGTTTCCCCTGAAAAAAGGGGCTTGAACCGAGAGATAGATGGCTCGTGATCGTTTCAACCGGTCTACTTTAGGGTATTTAGTATTTTCCCTTCCGTGTTTCTTCTTTCCGTTTTATTTTTCGTAGTTTGCTTCGTATTTGAAGTTAAGGGTTGATCAGTCCATCCCTTATACTGCTATAACGAGTTAAATTCGTCGCGAATTTCTCATGCTACCGACCCCATCAAAGTGAAGCACACTCGCGTTTGACTAAAATTATATCGAACGTATTTTAACGCGCGTAAAATTTCTTTAATTTTATTACGAATGAAATAGATATATAGCGGGTAATTAATATCAGTTTTTCGTAATTAAATTATAGCGCAAGGGGTTGATGGTACTAATTACATTTGATCGTATTTGATGATCAGAGGAGAAAAATGTGATAAATTAGAGATTCTTTTAATACAATTCTTTCGACGAATTTTTGTACTTTGTATCGTTCTTATTATTTTAAAATATCTTTGGAATTAATTATCACGATATTTCATGAATTTATTTTTGAATGGTTTATGTTTCCTTTCGTTAACTACATATGAAAGTATTTTCTTGATTATTCGAATGTTTCCTTTAAGCACTTCCTTTCAGTAAAGTAGCATTAAACTTGGGAAATCTGCAAAGCTAGATTTATCATATTGTTCTCTGATCATCGTCATTTAGTATAAAAAATTAATGTCCGATAATTCACCTGATAAGTGGTCAATATAAATAATTTTCCTGCCATTGCAGTAGTTTTCTACGCGAATGTGGTGAACTTGAAATCCCAATTTTTCAATCACGAATGAAATTAAAAACGAAATGAAAATTCCCAATGAAACTGTATGATAGTTTGCACACTGCGTTCGTTTTAACTCGTTTCAGTCTTTAAAGTGCCTTTGGTCTATCTCTGTGCTAAATCATCTATCGGTATCCAAGAGAATTATATTTTTCCTACGAAAATTCCACTGGAAAATAAAATTGATAGTATAATAAGTACAATATCGTTATTAATCCTCTAATTTTACAAATTCGATATTAAACTTCTATCGACCTACCGTTTCGTCCCCTAAAATCACGATGTTCGATTTAATTACAAGCTTTTGCAATTCGCTGGTATGATAGACGAAACGACAGAGACAACGAATGCGGAAAAGATATTCGAACGAAATACGAAGGGGCGCTTTTCTATCTGTTGAATATTTCCGCTTAATAAATTAAGTCGGCGATAGAACGCACTCGTTAAAGCTTACCGGTGTCGACAATGTAAACAAAAGTATTTGTTACTAGCAGAATGCGGGCGTCGACGTGGATGCTTAATAAAGAGAAGATTAATCGATGAACGGAAAACGATGTCGCGGGAGTAAAATACAGGCGACGCGAGGAAAACAGAGTATCCTACGAAAGCAAAAACCTAAGTGATTTATCGCTCGTGATTGCGACGTGTTCTACGCACGGTATCGACAAACTCGAACGAGAATTATGCGAAATCGAAATTCCCCCTTATTGGAATAATTAAAAACCGATTTAAACCTGTTACTAATTCCCTTCGTTCGAACAAAATTTCCCTAATTTCTACTCATTATATTCCGCCATTTTTATACGTCTGTTTAATCACTTAACACTAGAACTACCGTATTTGTCAAAAAATAGTAAATTTCTATATATTTTTTCTCGCAGTTATTCAAATGTATTTGTACATTTTAATTAATGACAAGATCTAACGCTGCAATTACGTTTTACAGATTGACGAAATTAATATTAATTTTTATCGAACCGAAGGTATAAATTATGGCCTATCTTTTCAGAATGCTTCAAAATCATTTTAGCAGGCTCTTTTTATCAGGTAATAGATACTCTTTTTATCAGGTAGTGAACAGATTGAAATGGGATCAAATGTACCATAAATTTGGTCACCTTTGTACTAATTTCCTTTGCAATTTCCTCACTGTACGACTTTAATTATTATCGGATCCTCTCTGATCTATTTTATTACCTGTAACTAGGTCTATGGAAACAGGACAGATTATATTTTGAAACTCATAGAAAAATAGATATATATATATCTCGTCTTCAAATTATGGCCTATTTTTCAAACTGTTTCAAGAACAATTTTATCCTACCCCTAAAGAAAGAAATTGGGAAACTGGTTTTTATTGGACTATCTTTTATCAATTAATAAAGACTTGAAAATTGGCGAAAAATTTGAATTTTAGCATTTTTGGCATTTGTGCACCCCTTTCCATTAAATGCTTCGTTGTACGATATTAATTATTATCGGATCCTCCTTGATCTATTTTGTTATCTGTTCTTATTATTCTATTCTCGTATCTACCTTTAACAAGTTCTAGCGTTAAAACGCAGATCGCAGAGTATTATAGAAATTCG